GAAACTGTGAATGGCAGCAACGCCAGGCTAGTGGTTTTAGAGAGTGGCTCTCCAGATCTAAAATGTTTTCATGGGTAAACTCCCTGTGTCCTTGTATTCCCTATTAGCTTTTTAAACTCTTCTGATTTCCACAAAATAGAAGTTGCATATGGAAATATGCAGTTAGATGGGCCACTGGACTCCAATTTCAGCCCTCAGTCTACCATCTGAAAAAGCCCAGGAGATCTCAGAATTCTCCTAGTCTAAATTGACCCTTTTGTTATAATTATTTTTTCTTGAGATAGGGTCTCACTCTGTCACACTGGCTGTTAAATCAATGACTCAAAACACAGCTTCTTGGTCTTCCTCTGAATCTGCAGTACAAAAGATTTTCTGCTATCTCTATTTCTCTTTTTTTTTTTTTTTTTTTTTTGAGACGGAGTCTGGCTCTGTCGCCCGAGCTGGAGTGCAGTGGCCGGATCTCAGCTCACTGCAAGCTCCGCCTCCCGGGTTTACGCCATTCTCCTGCCTCAGCCTCCCGAGTAGCTGGGACTACAGGCGCCCGCCACCTCGCCCGGCTAGTTTCTTTTGTATTTTTTTAGTAGAGACGGGGTTTCACTGTATTAGCCAGGATAGTCTCGATCTCCTGAGCTCGTGATCCGCCCGTCTCGGCCTCCCAAAGTGCTGGGATTACAGGCTTGAGCCACCATGCCCGGCCTATCTCTATTTCTCATAGCCTCTTCCTATATTGATACTTTCTTTCTTTTTTTTGTTTTTTTTTTTTTTTTGTTTTTTTTTTTTGCTTTTTTTGAGATGGCAGAGTCTCGCTCTGTTGCCCAGACTGGAGTGCAGTGGTGCAATCTCGGCTCACTGCAACCTCCACCTCCCGGGTTCATGCCATTCTCCTGCCTCAGCCTCCTCAGTAGCGGGGACTACAGGTGACTGCCACCACGCCTGGCTAATTTTTTGTACTTTTAGTAGAGATGGGGTTTCACCATGTTAGCCAGGATGGTCTCGATCTCCTGACCTCGTGATCTGCTCACCTCGGCCTCCCAAAGTGCTGGGATTACAGGCGTGAGCCACAGCGCCTGGCTTGATACTTTCTTTACTAACATACGTAGATTGCTTGCTTTAACAATTCAACCAAATATTTGATAACATCAAATTAATTTAACTGTATCACAGGTTGGGTTCACAGGCAAGCAGACATTGAGATGGAGATTATCCCACAGGACAATTATTTGGAATGGCTCTTGGCCTCAGTACCTGGGGAAGGCGAAGGAAGTAAACAGTATTGGGCAGAGGGAGTAGACATGTTATACATTCACAACAAAGGCCTCAGCCAATCCCACAGGAAGCTCTGGATCTGTAAAAGACCTTCAATGTGGTCCCAAGTTGGGGAGGAAACCCTAGATTTTATCTTCTCACATTAACTAGTCAATAAATGTGGGCATCCTCCTGCCAAAAGGGCATTGTTCTGACCACTTCTTCATGGAACATCTTCATGTGTCTCCAAATCACTCATTCCCTCGCCTCCTTTAAATATTTGCTCAAGTATCATTTTCCCAATGAGATCAACCCTACCCCCTCTATTCCCTACTGGAGTCCCTCCTACTCCACAGGCTCCTCATCACTCCGTTCTGCTCCTCATGTTTCCTTTCCTATTGCACTTTTCACCTCATAAGTCACTATGTAACTTATAACATTTCTTTGTTCACACATCTAGAAAGCATCTGCAACAGGGCGGGTGCTCAGTTAGTATTTGTTAAAACACACGGGAACCATGGCTTTGTACCTGTTTACTCTCTCTAAATCTACCCTCAACAATTCCTTTCCTTCCACATTTATGATTGTTCAATGTTATCAGGAAGAGAAATAAATCATAATCTGAAGGAACAAAAATTTAATGGTAGCCACAATTCTAGTAGAACCATTACCTCAACTAAATTTCCTCACATCTCAGAACTCAGTATTCTGTACTTACCTCCCACTGGGACGTATCTTTTCTCAGGCATCACAGATAATTTTCTCCTCCAGTTACCTTATGATTCTTTTTGTATAATTTCATTAATCAACATTAACAGCCTTCTGGGAATCGCTCACTTCACAAATGTTTTTTGGAGGTAATCTCAATTCCCCCTGAAGACTCTGTCTCTGCACTTACAGATGAGAAGAAAATCACTCCCAGAAAGAGATAGGAGCATGGAATCCCAAGCCTTTATCTCAGTGTTCAGATGACCTCTCTTGACAAATGCACAAAATACTACAACTGCGGCCACTATCCTAGTTGGAAACACAATTCGGTAGGTGGCTGTTCTTTTCAGATAAACATATGGAACTTAGATGAAATGTATTTCAGGAAATGCAGTGAGAAACATTATATGGGGGAAAAATTCTGCTCTCCTGGATTAGAACATCACTGACAGAGGTCAGAGAAAATTTCCTGAGGGATCAGGGACTGTAATTTTCCACTGGATGCTAAGATTCCAGCTGTAGGGCTCGTAAGTATCCTTCCTCCCTCTTCCCTGAGACAGCTTCATCTGAAATTTCCAATTTACCCTCAACGATTAAACACCTAGAACCTCACTAGAGTCACGCAAGTCTTCACTCAAAACACAAGGGCATAGCAGTAAGATTGTGATCCTTAGCTGTCATCTATGGAGTGGGCACTTGGTATTTGAGGGGAACTTTTTGAATAAATAATTTCAAAATCATTTCAAAAATTTTCTCAAAAACACCTGTGATTTAAACATTTCTTTGAGATTCTAAGTATTCTACTAATCTGTTGCATTTCTACCCACCATGGAACTCACATTCCCCTCTGCAAAATACAAATTTCTATTGTATTCACCCCTCACTCCTGAACATAAATTTATCCTCACAAATTTCTGCCCAGATGACATTTTGATGGCTATTTACACATCCCCATCTCAGACCTCACAGTGTACATAATTTGGCCCCTAATGGAGCCTCTATGAAAAGTCCTTTAATCAGGGGAATAGATGAGTCCTTATTTGTCTTGAATGTCTCTACTTCCTCTAGGACAGAAGTGATCAGTAACCACAGCTGGTTCAGGAATCACAGGATCTTGCAAAGTTGTCTCCGATTGACATGAACTGGCTGGATTCTCACTCCAGGTCTATCACCTTCTTATTTGTTAATGAAATATTTGTCTTCAGACATTATGACAGATATCCAATGAGTTTCAGAGGGTTTGAAAATGATGGACACTTTAGACATGAATAGCCTACATGGTGAACTTACAGAGGCAAAGCAACTTGTCAACAAACAGCTGTTCTACCAAAAAAGCCTGGAGTTACAAAGCGGACGAACATTTTTGCAGAGCTAGAAACTAATTCCAACAAGGCTAAAAACCTGCTACTGCTAGTAGGGAAAATCCTAACTATTCACAGTCAAATGCTTTTGTTGGGAGGTTATTTAGGTTGATGTTGATAAGGGAAAAGTTCCCTTGTCCTCCTGGCAGGGCGTGCGATGGGGGTGTGGCTTGCTTCTTCAGTGCCCCGCTGCTCAAACCTCCAGGGGAATATACAGACGGGTGGGCTGTGGGGCTGCGACCCCATGGCAGTGTCTAGGGGTGAATGTTTACAGCTGAAGCCCCAGTGGGCATGTTACAGGGTGCCCTTTTAGTTTAGCCGTCAGCAGGCGGTTTATGTTAGTCAGCTCAATTAGATCCCTGCCTCATCGCAAAGACAGAGGGCTTTCTGTACCCCGGGGTTCCTGTCTTGGTGTACCAGAAGAATCAGATCACACATGGGCTTGAAGGATGACTGCAGGGTTTTGAGTGGAAGTAGCTCTCAACAGTTGGGGGAGCCAGAAGGGAGATGGTTTTCCCCTGGAGTCGGGCTGCTCCGCAGCACCTGCTCTCCTCCGACTGCCCCAGCCAAACTCTGCGTCCTTCTGGTGGGTGGCCTGCCCGCGTGCCAGCGTCTGTCACGTCTTCTTCCGCCAACATGTTCCTCTCGATGGCCGGTGGCATATGTGTCTGCTTCCTAGGGTCTCGGAGTATTTATACATACAGGATGGGGGCGGGAACAGGATGGGGGCGTGGCAGGCCAGGGCGGTCTTGGGAAATGCAAAATTTGGGCAGGAAAACAAAAATGCCTGTCCTCAACTAGGTCAGTGGGCACAGGGCCAGGGATGGAGCCCTAGCCAGGGACCACACCCTCCTGTACCCAGCACTTCCCTTCCCCCCTTCCGTATCATTTAAAGGGACTCCGACCTTCCTTCCCCAGCACTCCCCTTCATCGCTTCCGTATCAATGTCATCACCCTGGACTGACACCAGGAACCACTGTAATGTGGGCTTAATAAGAACAGAGCTCAGCTGGCCGCGGTGGCTCACCCTGTCATCCCAGCACTTTGGGAGGCCGAGGTGGGTGGATCACTTGAGCCCAGGAGGAGTTCGAGACTAGCCTGGGCAAGATGGCAAAACCCCATCTCTACAAAAAATATATAAAAATTAGCCAGGTATAGTGGCGCGCGCCTCTGGAGGCCACTACTCTGTAGTCCCAGCTACTCTGGAGGCCAAGGTGGGAGAATCACTTGAACCTGGGAGGCGGAGATTACAGTGAACCGAGATCGAGATCGCGCCACTGCATTCCAGTCTGAGCAACAGAGGGAGACCCTGTCTCAAAACAAAACAAAAACAAAGCAAACAAACCAAAAGCGGAGCTGACAGTCAAGGTGAATTTCACGTTTGCCTGTATTCAGTTTTAGCATTATATAAACCAAAAGAAGAATGCCATAAAGGCTACAGGCAGATAATACAGAGAAGTATTACTGGAAAAGGAACCAGAAAGAGTAAATATCTCCTAAACGTATGATGGGACAGAAAGATAAATGCCTTTTACATATAGTTAATGTCTGTTTGATTCGTCTTATTTACATTCTCCTTTTAAAAGGTCTTACATTTAGCATCTTAGATAGAACCCACAAAATTTAAATATTTAATAGAAACTTAAAATTTCTGTATCAGAGGACAGAAATATATTTTTCTCACACGTGATCAAATTGCCACTATTAATCGTATTAATGTTCTGTTAAATAATAGTATTTCTGTAGCGAAAAGCAAACAGTACGGAAAGATAACTTCAAACACCTAGTTTTCATATTTTTGTGTTAAAGTAATAACATATTTTGGTATACATTATCATTTTTTGTTTTTGTTTTTGCTTTTTCTGACCTGGTGTGTTACTGCCCTGGATTGGCCCTCTAAGAAGCTGGCCACCTACTTCGGGCCTCAGGTGTCAGTCGCCCCCCGACTCCCCAAAATCACCCAGCTTGGAGGTCTACAGCTTCCAGCTCTGCGAGCGCCTGCGCCTGCGCACTCTCAGCCGGACGGGAGCTCCCAGAAGTCTCCGGGCGCCGGTGGGAGGACTTGTGGACTGCGCCGCGCATGCTCGGCGGTGTGACGGCCCCGGACTACATTTCCCACAGGCTACTGCGATTCGGCGAATGTAGCCTGAAACTACATTTCTCAGCTGCTCCTGGAACGACCTCATTCTACCTCCTCGCCAGTTCATTGTGGTCGTTGACCTGGCAGCGACCTTTGGAGTTCTGCGAGGTAGAAGTCAGCGCCCGGCTCAGAGGTTAGAGCAGCCCCGCCAGGCAACCTGAATTTCTGCAAAGGAACACAGTTAGCACCGGGAGTTCTGCAGACCTGGGTCGGCGCAGAACCCGAACTGAGACATGCGTGAGCGTTGGGTGGACCGGGCGAGGATCCCGGGCCCGCGAGTGCAGGAGAGGCAGGGAAAGGGAGGGTACGTGGGACAGGGCCGGTGTGCACCCGCGAAGACTGGGTGCATGGCCTCCATGCGAATCTGAGCTATTAATATTTGTTACTATTTTGGATAAAATCACTAATTGATTTATGTAAAGGAAGAAAAGACTCTTCAACTCTCAGTTTAAAAAGGAAACGATAGATATGATACCTTGTGCATGCAGCGGGAAGAAGTGGGAGTGCCAGGAAGCCTCTTCTTGTTTGGAAAAAACTTTATAAGTATTACACCTTTTTTAAAGATGAGAGCAATGTCATCTGAAAATTATCAGTGCAGGGAAAAGGACTTCAAAGTATCTGTTGTGCAGATTACTTTCCTAATGACAAAATTATGTAAGAAAGGAGAGCAAGATGACAGCTGTACACATTTCCGTCAATCTCCATATTGCACAGAAATAGGACCCAGCCTTTTCTTAAGGGTCTTCAATTTTGCATTATCCCACAGCAGTAGCTCTCTCTCTCTAGCTGCTAGGGGACAGAGGAAATTTAAACATCAGAGAATCTTTTCTGTTGGTTTTTTGTTTGTTTTTAAAGAAGAGTTGCTCAATTTTTTAGTTAGAATTAAAGCATGCCAGAGAAACACGTTTTTTTGTTTTTTTGTTTTTTTGTTTTTTTGTTTTGAGATGGAGTCTGGCTCTGTCGCCCGAGCTGGAGTGCAGTGGCCAGATCTCAGCTCACTGCAAGCTCCGCCTCCCGGGTTTACGCCATTCTCCTGCCTCAGCCTCCCAAGTAGCTGGGACTACAGGCGCCGCCACCTCGCCCGGCTAGTTTTTTGTATTTTTAGTAGAGACAGGGTTTCACCGTGTTAGCCAGGATGGTCTCGATCTCCTGACCTCGTGATCCGCCCGTCTCGGCCTCCCAAAGTGCTGGGATTACAGGCTTGAGCCACCGCGCCTGGCCGAGAAACACGTTTTAAGTAAAAAGTGGAAACAGGTCGGGTGGCACGGCTCATGCCTGTAATCCCAGCACTTTGGGAAGCTGAGGCGGGTGGATTGCCTGAGCTCAGGAGTTCGAGACCAGCAACAGGGCAACATGGTGAAACCCCGTCTCTACTACAAATATAAAAATTAGCCAAGTGTGGTGGCGCGCGCTTGTAGTCACAGCTACTTGAGAGGCGGAGGTGGGAGAAGTGCTTGAAACTGGGAGTCGGTGGAGGTTGCAGTGAGTGGAGATGACGCCACTGCAATCCAGCCTGGGCGACAAAGCAAGGCCCTGTCTCTGAAAAAAAAATAGATACATAAATAAATTAAGTGGAAACAAAGTGTTTCTTTAATTAAAATGAAATAAAGGTTGTATAATGTTTATGTAATAACAACTCCAATGCAGTCAGGAGTTTGAGACCAGCCTGGCCAACATGGCAAAACCCTGTCTCTACTAAAAATACAAAAATTAGCCAGGCGTTTTGGCAGGCCCCTGTAATCCCAGCTACTGGGGAGGCTCCCAGGAGGTGGAGGTTGCAGTGAACCGAGATCACACTACTGCACTCCAGCCTGGGCAACAGAGCGAGACCCTGTCACAAAACAATAAAAAAAAAAAAAAAAAGAAAAGAAAAAAAATCCCTTATGATGCCTAATATATAAATTAAATGTAATCATAGGTGTGTAGGTATAAGAAAAAACATAGTATATGTGGGGTTCGGTCAGACATCTACTGAGGATCTTTGAGTGTATCTCCCCCCTGTGAAAAAGAGGGAACTACCATAATAAGAGTTAACTCGACCGCATGCTGTGGCTCTTGCCTGTAATTCCAGCACTGTGGGAGGCCAAGGCGGGTGGATCACGAGGTCAGGAGATAGAGACCATCCTGGCCAACACGGTGAAACCCCCCTACTAAAAATACAAAAATTAGCTGGGCTTGAGTGCACCTGTAGTCCCAGCTACTCAGGAGGGAGGCAGAGGCAGGAGAATCGCTTGAATCTGGAGGCAGAGGTTGCAGTGAGCCAAGATGGCGCCACTGCACTCACTCCAGCCTGAGTGACAGGGCAAGACTCTGTCTCAAAAAAAAAAAAAAAAAAAAGAGCTAACTCATATTAAACAAGTATTCTATTAAGTTTTGGGGATGGGTTTTCTTATTCTTCAGGACAACCACATGTTGGAGCTGATATTCCTATTACTATTTTAGTGATGAGAAAACTGAGCCATATTAGTAACTGCCTGATCATTTTCTCCTATGTTCTCTATCTCCCATGTCCTGACCAACCTCAGATTTATACTGCCACCATTAAAGAAGCTCTGGATTGGGTGATGTGGACTCTTTCTTAGGCTTAGAACATGGGAATGGAGTGAGGAGAATCTGTTCAAGAGAGGACTGTGCAGCCCAATTTGAGACCTAGATCGACATTCCCAAAATGAGGGCCTAGTGGGAAAGATTGTGTCTGATTCTGCCTTCCTTAAGAAGCGCCACTCCTCTGCATCCAACTCTCTACAGCTTAGTTCACTGGGGCTTGAATTCCACTGTTCTCCAAATTTTGTTTGAGGGTTTTTGTAGCACAGTTCGGAAGCTGAAATGGAGGGACAAGAAGGTTTATTAATGTATGTCATTGAGAACACTAAAGCCTCCTTTTCCTCTTTCTGGATTTTCTAGAGTTTGAACTTCTCAGATAGAGGAACCCCAGTGAAGACTGATCAGTTCCTAGAGTTCTCAAAGCATGGCCCACGTAAGTTGGTGTTTCTTCTTGAAATATTGGGATTTTTACATTATGTGGCTATTTTCCTTAATTGATCTGAAGCATTCTGCATCAGAGTACACCATCTAATTGCCTACTTGATTCCTTCTGTGTGGCGGAAAGATGCCAAAGTATTGTTTCCTCCTTACAAGGTCCTCGTTTCTAATTGATGTTCCTGAATTCATTGAGCAAATTCTGAGCAGGTAAATAGTAAGTCTTAGCTGAAAGGCTGTGATAGAGCAGTGAAGGATTGAAGTCCCATGGCAGAAGTATTTGAGCTTCCTACATCCAGCTGTGGTTTGATGAGTTCGATCTGTTGGCTTCATTTGGCCACACATCAGAAGATTTGAAGTTTTCCACAGAGCTGATAAGATGGAATTTTGTACTAATTGGTCTCAATATGATGAGATAACATGCTCTCTGAGGCTTTTAAGATTGATTGGGGGGCCGGGCGCGGTGGCTGAAGCCTGTAATCCCAGCACTTTGGGAGGCCGAGACGGGCGGATCACGAGGTCACAAGATCAAGACCATCCTGGCTAACACGGTGAAACCCTGTCTCTACTAAAAAAAATACAAAAAACTAGCCGGGCGAGGTGGCAGGCGCCTATAGTCCCAGCTACTCGGGAGGCTGAGGCAGGAGAATGGCGTGAACCCAGGAGGCGGAGCTTGCAGTGAGCTGAGATCCGGCCACTGCACTCCAGCCTGGGCGACAGAGCCAGACTCAGTCTCAAAAAAAAAAAAAAAAAGATTGATTGGGAATGTGATTGTGACGTGAAACATTGATATGATTCTTCTTGGGATGCCCGAGAGTGATACTAGGTCAATTTTGTTATGGAATGGGACCTGCCAGACTTGGACAACATGCTTTTGGTTCTGAGTCATTTTCATCCTAATCCACTAACTCAAGAATAGCCAAATGGCCAGGTGCAGTGGCTCACACCTGTAAACCCAGGACCTTGGGAGCCCAAGGTGGGAGGATCACTTGAGCCCAAGAGTTCAAGACCAGCCTAGGCAGCATAGCAAGACCCTATCTCTACCAAAAAAAATTTTTTTAATTAGCCAGGCGTGGGGGCACCTGCCTGTAGTCCTAACTACTTAGGAACCTCAGACAGAAAGACACTTTGAGCCCAGGAGTTCAAGGTTGCCGTGAGCTATGATCATAGCACTGCACTACACACTGGGCAACACAGTGAGACTCTGTCTCAAAAAAATTTAAAAAAACAACAGACAAAATATTAAGGATATTGTGTGACACTATAAGTATATTGTTATCAGTAGTACATTAACAGAGTACCAGAATTGGGGAAACCTGAGGCATTTGGTTCAGTCTTCATTTATAAATCATTACTTTTTTTTGAGACAGTCTCGCTGTGTCACCCAGGCTAGAGTACAGTGGCACAATTTCGACTCACTGCAACCTCCACCTCCTGAATTCAAGTGATTCTCCTGCCTCAGCTTCCCAAGTAGATGGGATTACAGGCATCTGCCACAACGCCCAGCTAATTTTTGTATTTTTAGTAGAGACAAGTTTCACCATGTAGGCCAGGCTGGTCTCGAACTCCTGACCTCAAGTGATCTGCCCACCTCAGCCTCACAAAGTTACTAACTCAATATAGATCCACAAGATAACTTTTATGTCACTATGGAAAAAAGTGTTTATTAATACAAGGAAAAACACTTATGATCTGACCATAATGAACTTGAAGCTTGAGGAGTTATTCAACAAATTTGTGTCATGGCTATTTTCTAAGACAGATTTTATTCTACAGTTGGAGAAAGAAATCATAGCTATTTTCCTCTTAAAGGAAGAGTAATATAGAGACTAATCCTTTTTGAGAATTTGTTTAGTTGGATACCTAACAGGCAATATCTTTGTATATACTCTTTTACATAAAAGGGAAACTAGGATTATTTTGTCCATTTCACCACAGATATGGAGTATTGTGATATCCTACAATATATAGGACATTTTGTCCATAGCAGCAGGATTCTTCTAGAACATGCAGATACTATGCTCATCCACTTCCCATGTTATAAGCTTCCAGCCTATGTTATTGTTCCCTTACTACATCGAAACGTTTATTTCCTCTCCTTTCACCTTGAAAGCATTTTCTTTGATTTCACCAGAAATATGTGGGTTTGCAGTTTCAGGGATCAGTGACATTTGAGGATGTGGCCATAGCCTTCTCCCAGCAGGAGTGGGAGAGTCTGGACTCTTCCCAGAGGGGCTTGTACAGAGATGTGATGTTGGAAAACTACAGGAACTTGGTGTCAATGGGTAAGTGTACCTTTCTCAAATAATTGAGAATCTGCTCCCTGTTATACTTTCTCCATTATAGGTTTTAGGGCTATCTTAAGAACTGAACACAATTTCTTCTTGTTGCCAGATAAATCATTTGAGCTTTGTTAGGTTGGAAATGATCCAGTGTCAGGATTAGAATTCTGGATTGTTTATTGCAAAACATTGACAAAAGAGGCCAGGTTTTCTATTATGTTTTTGCTCTGAATTGCTCTGAACGTTCTGTGAAAATCTGACCCACTTTGCAGGCAAAACAGCTAGACAAAGGGTCTTGATTTGTTCCACCTGAAGAGCCTGTACAACTTATATGCCGGCGGATTGGATAAACAAATGATTTAAAACTGGAGCTACCTCATTTTATTTTGTATGATATAATCTGATTTTGTGGTTAAAATTCATCATTTCTGAACTTTGCATTTAAGAGTAAATGCAAATTAAACCTATATCCTATAGGTGTAGATGTCTAAGGAGACTTTGTTTTTCTCTTAGCAAAATAACAATAATAATGTTAGTAACACACAGTGTGCTTACTGTGTGCTGGTTCACTGTTCTCTGCTCTTTATATTAATATATATTTGTATTAACTGATTTTTATCCTTACAAGCACTCTATAGGTGCTAATCATTTTAGATGAGAATTCTAAAGCACAGTGTATTTAAGTGAGTTATGCAAGATCACACAGCCCATAGGTGACGGTAGCAGAAACTTGAACCCAGGCACTTAGGTTCCACAATCCGTGTTCTCAATCACAATGTCATACTTTTTTTTTTTTTTTTTTTTTTTTTTTGAGACGGAGTCTCACTCTGTCGCCCAGGCTGGAGTGCAGTGGCCGGATCTCAGCTCACTGGAAGCTCTGCCTCCCGGGTTCACGCCATTCTCCTGTCTCAGCCTCCCGAGTAGCTGGGACTACAGGCGCCCGCCACCACGCCTGGCTAGTTTTTTGTATTTTTTTAGTAGAGACGGGGTTTCACCGTGTTAGCCAGGATGGTCTTGATCTTGTGACCTCGTGATCCGCCCGTCTCGGCCCCCCAAAGTGCTGGGATTACAGGCTTGAGCCACCGCGCCCGGCCTTTTTTTTTTTTATTTTTTTTATTTTTTTTATTTTTTGAGACATAGTCTCACTCTGTTGCCCAGGCTGGAATGGAGTGTAATGATCTCAGCTCACTGCAACCTCCACCTCCCAGGTTCAAGCAATTCTCCGGCCTCAGCCTCCCTAGTAGCTGGGATTACAAGCATACACCATCACACCCAGCTAATTTTTGTATTTTTGGTAGAAACAGGGCTTTACCATGTTGGCCAGGCTGGTCTCGAACTCCTGACCTCAAGTGATCTGCCCACCCTGGCCTCCCAAAGTGCTGGGATTACAGGCATGAGCCACTGGGCCCCGTTTTTTATCAAGACACAAAAAATAAATGAGTATACACTTATCTATATTTATAATAGATAGATAGATTTCATTTAAAATAAAACCTTTCAGCCAGGCGTGGTGGTTCATGCCTGTAATCCCAGCACTTTGGGAGGCCAAGGTGGGCGGATCACAAGGTCAAGAGTTTGAGACCAGCCTGGCCAACATGGTGAAATCCCATCCCTACTAAAAATACAAAAATCAGCTGGGCGTGGTGGCACATGCCTATAGTCCCAGCTACTCAGGAGACTGAGGCAGCAGAATCGCTTGAACCCGGGAGGCAGAGGTTGCAGTGAGCTGAGATCACGTACTGCACTCAAGCCTGGTGACAGAGTGAGACTCCATCTCTAAATAAATAAACAAATAAAACCTTTCTCTACCTATCTGGAATTATGAATCCTCTTACCCTTCTCATCTCTGAGATATAAAGGTCAATATCGTTTGACCTTTCATTTATGGCAAATTTAAGCAAAGTTGAAAGTATTTTTGAACTCATATTTTATTTCTTTTCTACATTCTTATCTCATAAGCAGGACATTCCCTTTCTAAACCACATGTGATCGCCTTATTGGAACGATGGAAAGAGCCTAAGGTGACAGAGAGGAAAGATGGAAGAAGGTGGTGCACAGGTGAGTAAGAGCATGGCAGGTAGGGAGGCCATCGTTGCTGGAAACAGCCCAGCTGTCAGGGAGGAGGTGCATCTCTGCCATATTTGGAAGTTTCCCTTCAAAGCCCTAGGGCCTGCGTAGAAAAAGGCTGAGACTTGGGTAAGAAAGAAATACCTCACCAGCCTCTCCAAAGGAACTTCATTACCCATTTTAATACTCACTCACCTCTTGTTTCCCTCTCAGTTTATTACGGACTTAGTCACTTTCCCAGTGCATTATTCCATCTGTGTTTTGAATTTCACTGCTTTCACCTCCTCTTTTACATTTGGATTTATTCATATATTCTTAGACAGTAATATTTGAACAGAGACAGGAACAAGAAGTGAGAGTTCAGGCCGTGTAATTATGTAAGACATGCCAAGCAGAGGGAATAGCAGATGTGGATGCTTTAGGTGGGAATGAGTTTTGTGTGTTTCAGGAGCAGTAAGTAGGTTCGGGCAGAATTAATGGGAGAAGAGTAAGAAGGAAAAAGCTAGAGTGCTAGCAGGAATTTGAATTCGTTTGTTTTGTTTGTTTTTGAGTGAGACAGTCTTCTTTTGTCACCTAGGCTGGCATACAGTGGTGCAATCATAGCTCACTGCAGCCTCGACCTCCTGGGCTCAAGCCATTTTCCTGCCTCAGCCTCCTGAGTAGCTGGGACTACAGGCACACGCCACCACACCTGGCTCATTTTTTTTTTTTTTTTTTTTTTTTAGATGGGGTCTCGCTCTGCCGCCCAGGCTGGAGTGCAGTGGCGCGATCTTGGCTCACTGCAAGCTCCACCTCCCAGGTTCACGCTATTATCCTGCCTCAGCCTCCCGAGTAGCTGGGACTACAGGCGCCCGCCACTACGCCCGGCTAATTTTTTTGTATTTTTAGTAGAGATAGGGTTTCACTGTGTTAGCCAGGATGGTCTTGATCTCCTGACCTTGTGATCCACCCACCTCAGCCTCCTAAAGTGCTGGGATTACAGACATGAGCCACCGCGCCCGGCGCACACCTGGCTAATTTTTTTAATCTTCGGTAGAGACAAGGTCTCACTGTGTGGCTCAGGCTGGTCTTGAACTCCTGGGCTCAAGTGATCCTCCTGCCTTGGCCTCCCAAAGTACTGAGATTGCAGGCATGAGCCATCGTGCCTGGCCGGGAATTTGGATTATTTTCTAATGTAACTAGAAACTATGACCTAATTTGCATTTTTCCAATTTTTGAATTTTGGAAAATTCTATTAAATAGGAAACAGATAACAGAAAAACAATATTAAAATGTACAGCTTCATGAGTTATAAAGCAGATACCTTTCTAACCATCACTCTGGTCAAAAGATAAAACATTTTTATGGGGGCTGGGGGACGATGGGAGGGAGAGCATTTGGACAAATATATAATGCATGCAGGGCTTAAAGCCTAGATGATGGGTTGATGGATGCAGCAAACCACCATGGCACATGTATACCTAAGTAACAAACCTGCACGTTGTACACGCATATCCCAGAACTTAAAGTAAAATAAAAAATTTAAATAACAATTTTTATAAAATAATATCAGGCTTACAGAAAAGTTGGAAAGTTGTACTAAGAGTTTTCATATACCTTTCAACCTGGATTCTCCAAATGAAGAGAGAAAACTCTTTTACCTTCCCTTAAGGCTTATGCCCTGTACCTAATCACACTCACCTTTCTCCCTCCCTGATTAATCACCTCTAACCACTTCAAACTTTGCCAGACATCCCATATTCTCACTCCCAGTCTTACCTGCTCTTCTCAAATCAGCCTGCTATGCTTATGGACACCTGCTGGTTATTTTGGGGTTCTCAGGTCTGTCAGACACCCCACATTGTCCCCCGCTGCTTTTTCCTGCACAGATGCCTAAACCACACAAGTCTTAGCTGTAGTATTTTGTCTCTGTCTGCTAGAATTTTGCCATTTTGAGGGTACCTCTTCCTGTAGTTTTGTTGTATATGTTATCTGTAGTTTTTTTGTTTGTTTGTTTGTTTGTTTGTTTGTTTACAGTTTTGCTATCCTGTTTGCTCTGTTTTTATGGGGGTATTTGTTTAAATTCAAAAACAATGCTACCACTTCCACCATTGTGGTAGTCCATTTTCACACTGCTGATAAAGATATACCTGAGACTGGGTAATTTATAAAGAAAAAGAGGTTTAACGGACTCACAGTTCCATGTGGCTGAGGAGGCCTCACAATCATGGCGGAAGGCAAAAGGCACGTCTTACATGGCAGCAGACAAGAGAGAATGAGGACCAAGTGACAGGGGTTTCCCCTTAGAAAGCCATCAGATCTCATGAGACTTATTCACTACCGTGAGAACAGTATGGGAGAAACTGCCCCCATGATTCAGTTATCTCCCACAAGATCCCTCCCACAACATGTGAGAATTAGGAGAGCTACAATTCAAGATGCAATTTGGGTGGAGACACAGCCAAACCCTATCAACCATCATCCTAGTTTATGTTTTTAGATAATTACTGCAGGTATTTATAGTGGGTGGTCTGAATGGGGGCAAGAGCAATGCAAGCTGGGGTTCTGAGTGGTTTGGATTAGGATGTTAGTGGTGGACAGTGGTGAGAAGGCAGGGTGTTCATCATACATTTTTAAGGTAAAACCCACAACATGTAGGTGGATTGTAAATGGATATGGAGGCGAAGAGGGAAATCAAGAAGGATCAACAGGTTTGGACTTGAGCAGCTGAATGGGGGTACAGTCATGTGAGATGGTAAAGAGGGAAGGGCAGGTTGAAGGGCATACCTAAAGGTGTCTGCTTTCCATATGTTAAGTTGGAGATGACTACTAGTGATCCAAGCAGAGATGCTGAGTAGGCTGTGGAATATGCAAGTCTGGAGCTCAGGGAGAGTTTAGGCTACACATGAGAACTTGGGATGCAGCTGTGCCTGGTGGCTCCTGCCTGGAATCCCAACGCTTTGGGAGGCCAAGTTGGGAGGGTCATTTGAGCCCAGGAGTTGGAGACCAGCCTGGGCAACACAGGGATATCCCATCTCTACCTAAAATGTACAAATTAGCCATGCGTGGTGGTACACACCGGTAGTCCCAGCTACTTGGGAGGCTGAGGCAGGAGGATGGCTTGAGCTCAGGAAGTCAAGGCTGCAGTGAGCTATGATCACACCACTGTACTCTAGCCTGGGCAACAGAGAAAAACCCTGTCTCAAAATAAATAAATAAATAAATAAAAATTGGGATTCATTGGCATTTGGCTGCCATTTAAAGCCATGGCACTGGCTGAGATCCCCTAGAGAGTCAGTGCAGGTAGTGACTATTCTTTTTTTTTTTTTTTTTTTTTTTTGAGACGAAGTTTTACTCTTGTCACCCAGGCTGGAATGCAGTGATGCAATCTCAGCTCACTGCAACCTCTACCTCCTAGGTTAAAGTGATTCTCCTGCCTCAGCCTCCTGAGTGGCTGGGATTACAGGTGCCTGCCACCAAGCCTTACTAATTTTTTATATTTTTAGTAGAGATGGGGTTTCATCATGTTGCCCATCATGTTGCCCAGGCTGGTCTTGAACTCCTGACCTCAGGTGATCCATCTGCCTTGGCCTCCCAAAGTGCAGGGATTACAGGCGTGAGCTACTGCACCCAGCCAGTAGTGGCTACTCTTAACATTTAGAGGTCTTCTAGAGGAGGCTGCAAAAGAGACTGCCTCTTTTAAGGTAGAATTAAAACCAGAAAGTGGTGCCACCAAAGACAAATGAAGAAAGTGTTTCAAGATAGAAGAGTAGGCCAGACACAGTGGCTTCTTCCTATAATCTCAACACTTTGGGAGGCCAAGGCAGGGGAAATCACTTCAAGCCAGGAGTTCAAGACCAGCCTGGGCAACATAGCAGGACCCCCATCTCTACAAAAAGTTTAAAAATTAGCCAGGCATAGAGTTATGCCCCTGTAATCCTAGCTACTCATGAGGCTGATGCAGGAAAACTGCTTGAGCCTAGGAGTTTGAGGCTGCAGTGAGCTATGATCACACCACTGCATTCCAGCCTGGGCAACAGAGCAAGACCGCATCTCTTAAAAAGAAAAAAAAAAAGGCCGGGCGCGGTGGCTCAAGCCTGTAATCCCAGCACTTTGGGAGGCCGAGACGGGCGGATCACGAGGTCAGGAGATCGAGATCATCCTGGCTAACACGGTGAAACCCCGTCTCTGCTAAAAAATACAAAAAACTAGCCGGGCGCGGTGGCGGGCGCCTGTAGTCCCAACTACTCGGGAGGCTGAGGCAGGAGAATGGCGTGAACCCAGGAGGCGGAGCTTGCAGTGAGCTGAGATCCGGCCACTGCACTCCAGCCTGGGCGGCAGAGCCAGACTCTGTCTCAAAAAAAAAAAAAAGAAAAAAAAAAAAAGATAGAAGAATGATCATCTGAAAAGTGAACTAAGCTAAGCAGTGATGAGAATTGACCACAATATATATATATTTTTTTCAAGACAGAGTGCCACTCTTGTCGCCCAGGCTGGAGTGTAGTGGCACAATCTTGGCACACTGCACCCTCTGCCTCCAAAGATTCTCCTGCCTCAGCCTCTTGAGTAGCTGGGATTACAGGCGCCTGCCACTATGCTTGGCTAATTTTTGTATTTTTAGTAGAGGTGGGGTTTCATCATGTTGGCCAGGCTGGTCTCAATCTTCTGACCTCAGGTGATCCGCCCACCTCGGCCTCCCAAAGTGCCGGGATTACAGGTGTGAGCCATGGCTCCCAGTCTGACCACAATATTTAGCCTTGCTAAAGGAAATTTTCAGGGGCATCTAGGGTTGAAAGCCTGACTGGTCTGGTAAAAACAGAATGGGAGACAAGCCAGTGCCAAGAATGAGCACAGCAGTCCTCTTGAGGCATTTGGTTCTGAAGAGACAGAAAAAAAAAAAAGAAAGAAAGAAAGAAAGAAGGTCACATTCTGAAGTACTGGGTGGAAGGACTTTGGGGGACACTATTCAAACCAATACACCTTATATCCTACCAGTCTCCTTATATTACTTG